TATATATATAAAATATTGTGTGTGTGTGTGTGTGTGTACACACTAGCCAATTTCCCATCCAGAATGAGAGGGATGGAGGGAGGGAGAGGGGGACGGGCGGGGGAGGAGCACCACCAACCATTGCCCTGTGCTGCTGTCCCAGTCTGTCCCTGCCATTGCCCATCATGACTGACGGGAGGAAGGGGAGGCAGAGATGGAGCACTGCTGCCCAATGCCCTGCGGTGCTACCGCTCCACCTCTGGCCCCATGCCCCTCCCCCCACCCCCCGCATCCTACCCTATGCGCCTGAGTGGGGCAGGGGGCGAGGCCATTGCTGCATTGCCACAGGGTGCTGTTGTATGTGGCACTGAGACTAGGTTCACCTCCAGCCCCATGTGCCCTCCCCACACCCCACGTCCAGCACATCCACTCCTGCCCCTCAGTCCCTGCTGTCATGGGGGGGTGAGGGAGAACAGAGCCCCACATCTATCCCTGTTCCCCCTCACTCCCTCCTTCCCCCCTGCCACATTGGGTCCAGGCCCATTTCCCCCTTCTCCATTCCTCTCTGCCTCCAAGGAGCAGAGCTGGGGAGGGGACAGCTCTGCCATGACAGTGAGGACTGAGGGGACAGAGCATGACAGGGGAGAGCATGACAGGGAGGAGCATGACTGAGAGGGAGCATGACAGTGGGGACTGAGGAGTCGGAGCACCCCCAGCTCCATCCCCACTGTCATGGTGGCACTCCGCTGGACTGCCGCCGCCTGTCCAGAATGCTTTTGGAGCACTCTAACTGGCTGCCGAGACAACCAGTCAAATGTGAATAAAGTGTTACGGACAGACAGACAAAGTAAAGCTTTTATGATATTAGATATATATAGTTTATATATATAGTTATAGTTATATATAGTTATAGAGCAGTTGTTTATTTCTGACATTAGCCATGATTTTATGCTTGTGACACTGACTATGGTTAACTGTGGAGGTGATGATGGTACCTTATGAAGGTGCCATGGGGTAGTATGAGGAGTCAGCAGCATGAGCCAATAACAGGACACAAAGGCCTTTTTTTACTCTCTGTGCAAATATCTGTATCATTAAAACCACAAGGGAAAAGATAGTCAGCCTTTCTGTCCATCTATCTTTCTATCCAATAAGAAACATGCACTGGTTAGAAAAGGTAGCACAGATAACTCAGGGCCTGTCTATAGTTGGAAGCCATGAACAGAAAACGAGGGTGTGAATTTACAACTCCACTAACTTCTCATGTGGTCACCCTTAGTCTTATCTGAAAGAGTGTCTTTGGGCAGGGAACTAACTCTTCTTAGCAAAGGGAGTAAGCGCACGCACTCTGTCTACATAGGAAGTGAGGGCAAAATAGCAAGCATGAACAAAGTACAAGATAGTTTTTTCCCCTTAGAAAGAGGAGTCTGCTTTAGTGTACAGTGAGCTAGTGTGGGTACCTATTAGGCTTGTCTACATGAGATGCTTTACTGTGCAGCAGATTAATTTTCTGTGCAGTAAAACATGACTGTCTATACATGCACAGCAATTAGGGTACAGTAGATATGAGTAGTATCTAACAATACAGTAAATTACTGTGCTTAAATGCATGTGTAGGCATTGACATTGGGATTAGTTTACTCCAGCTCAAATTGAGCTGAAGTATATTCAGACTCATTCATTGCATGTGTAGACATACACAGTGTACTTTAAATTCATTCCCTAGCTTACTGCATGTTGCCAAAAAGGCGGCGTACACCCAGTGGAAGGGGGGTGCTATCTCCAAAGAGGAGTATACCTCCTCTGCTCGGGCCTGTAGGGGGGCTGTCAGGAAAGCTAAGGCGGACATAGAGCTAGGACTAGCGTCCAAGATCAAGGATAATAAAAAGTCCTTTTTCAAATACATAGGGAGGATGAAGAAAGCACCGGGTAATGTGGGGCCCCTGCAAAGTACGCTGGGCAATCTGGTGGTTGCGCCAGAGGAGAAAACGGAACTCTTTAACCAATTCTTCATGTCCGTTTTCTTGTGCAGGGACTGGGACTTCCCCG